CTGGCTCTGATCATATGCTGTATTATTGGTGCTGCTGCTTCCTACTGTATGGAAAGCAGAACTGTCGTGTAAGCTCTGCATATGCTAAAAGCACTTTATTACAGCCAAAGTGCTCATTGTACTTAATGGCTTCCCCCATAAGCCATTTTTAAACCTTTCCAACTCAGCCGCAGAAAATAACAAAAAAAAGGGCTGCGACCTGCTGTGGCTTAAGATGGAAAGGGTGAATCAGTCCTAGAAAAGAACTGAATTCCCCCATTTGGCTTGGATTCATCACAGGGAAGTGTCAGTTTGCAGTAACTGGATATTATTTTGTCATTTAGCTTTTGTATAATTATTTATTTCCAAAGCCTGATACTAGAACACAGTGTCACATTCCAAACTTGTCAAATCTCTTGCTTCAAAAAAACACCTAGTAAGGCTCAGACAAAATTTCTTACATTAACATTCATTTTCATATTTTAAATACTTTACAGAACAACTTAACTATGTTGAAGAAATACCAAATATTTTGCAGAAAATCGTGAGGTTTTTGAAAGAAATTTGGTCGATATCTTTAACAAAACTCACTCCCAAACCTCAAATTTCTGAAACTACATTCTTTCCATTGGAAATAGTGTGAAAGATTTCACTCAAATCACGTAAACCTGAGATAATACCACAATACTGGTTTGTTTATTCTTTTTTTTTGGCATTTTTTCCTGGGTCTTTTTAATAGATCCAGTAATTTTGTTTCTTCTTCTCTAAAATATATCACTGGAATTGTCTGACACTCTCTAATGTTCTGCATTTGCAAACTCTTAAATCCTTGCCTAGAACAGCTGCCTCCGTGTGAAGAGTTTTCTCCATCTGGGCACGTCCATGCTAGCAGCACAACTTGCACAGGTATTTTTGTCTCAGTAAACTTCTTTTCCAGCAAAGCAAGGGTGAACACTGAGTGGGACTGGTCCCTGGAGGAAAATGGAAACCTGGGGTAGAGCTGAATTTGTGTGACACAGGTAGGAGATTGTTCTCATGCCAATACTCAAGGTGCATTTGTTCACCCAACTGGTGAAGAAATCTAGAACATAATTTTTTTTTGGACCTCTGTGCCCAGAACCCACAGAAGGATTCAGAGCTGAGATCTGTTGAGCCTGCAGTAAGGGATGAGTGAATCTCAGCCAACCAGTTTGTCCAAGAGGACTAAATTCTTCATTGAATGATTTTGCCATTGCCTGAAAATTACTCCAGGTGTTGCAGCAAGGAGCTCCTTAATGCAGGAGAAAAGAGAATTATGAGATACAGTGGCTGAAAATTTAAAACTAGGAAAGTCAGGGCAAAAAATCAGGTGTGAATTTAAATAATATCAGCACAAATAATTAAGCACTAAGACACTTTACATAGCAGGGTAGTGAATCAGTCAGGCCCTTTGACTTTCTAAGAGAAATCCTCCCAAAAGCTAGGAGATAAATTTTCTAATGTGAACAGAAGGTATAGTCTTTATTAAAAAAAACAAAGGGAAAATTTTGTCTTGTGTTACATAGAAGGTGTGACTTGGTGATGGTAAAGGTCCTCCTGACTCCCTAGCTCAGTGCCAGCAGAATTGGCTCTGTGTTCCATACTGAGGTCTAGTTTCTCTCTTGCCAACACCCTCGGCAGCTCCCTGGCATTTGCACTTCTGCTGTGGGCTGTGTGGCACAGTCTATTTTAAGAAAGCTGAGCAATTCCTTCTAAAGATAAGAGGGGCAAAAAGTTACCTTTGTCTCCTCCATTCCAAGTGCAAGTGCTTTTCTCCGCCTCTGCCTCCTACTTCTGCCTTATTTTTTTTTGTGTATTCTGCTCACATCAAATATTTCTGGAACGATGGGGCTGCCAAATAGGAGTGCCAGCAGCCCTGACAGCACATCTGTCAGTCCCCAGTCTCCACAGCTGGTGTGTATTGGGTCGGGTTTCCCATACAGCAAACACTACTCGATCACTTAGGAACTCCAGGTGAAATGTACACCAAGACTGGAGCTTCACGACATGGGTAGCTGTTCATTTACTAGCAGTCATACAACCTCATCCTTAGCTTTTGCTTTAACTAGGAATGTTTTTTTGAAGCTGTCCTCTGCCAGTTTTAGACGTTTCATTTTCACAGGTCCTGTGTAAATAGAAAGGTTTCCAAAGCTCCATCTGGTTCCAGTTACTCAAGCAATAGAAATACACATGCTTCAGGAATTTGCAGACGGAGACTTACTGCTTTGCTGCCTTACAAAATCCTTTACAAAGTTCACTATGCTCTGTTGCCTCATGATATATACCTGTAGTCTGTAAAACAATTTCCCCTGAAACTTACTTAAGTCAGAGAAATGAACACGCTGACAGTCTCGGTCCCTTCTTTCTAATAAGGTTAACCTGCCTGCACTACTAAATATGGCTTTATAACACACACACACACACACACACACACACACACACACACACCCTTGACCACCAAAGACTGCCTCTTCCTGAAATCCCCCGTTCATATAAATACAGGAAGTAGAAATAAGAGAGGTTCAAATCGGATCTTCTTGGTAGTTTGCTTTCATTTCACTGCTTGTTTAGTCCTCTGCCCTCTGATACTACTGAGCCTGAAGCTGGTTTTAAACATCCTCCCCGTGACGCCCCTTGAAATATCATCTTCTGTACAAAACCTGAGGATGTGGAGGTTCTGCTCAGCGATGGGAAGAAATTGCTTTCCTTACCGAGGAACTCTCGAGCCACTGTGAAACAGAAAGTGTCTTGAAGTTTGCTGTAATGATGAAAACATCAGCAGAAGACAAGGGAGCCAGGGATGACTCAGGGTAAGTCCTGAATCTTTAGTGACTGCTCATTTTTAATAACTGTTGCTTTCCTTTTCCTACTTAACAAAGAGTTTCTGCATTTGCAAGCTGTCTGCTGAGTTATCAGCTACACACTCACAATGGTGTGGCATGAATGTGCTGTAATTTACAGCATTTCCTTTAGCTAACACATGTTCCAGCTGAAAACAAACTGCAGTACATTTATTTAGCTTGAACTTCAGCTACTTAGGGATGAAGAAGGATGAATCCCAAGCTGCAGTTTAGGGCGAAGGACAGAAAAAAAGAGGAGTTCTCTGGTGTTGGAAATGTGGAAGAGTTTTTCTGGGAGGCTTGCTTTGTTTCTGCCCAAATGCAGAAGTAGATAAGTGCTTGTCCCCATGAACTGATGGTCAGTCCTGCTCCTGTGTGCTGAGGTGTGCACAAACCCTGTCCACAGACTCCCAGGAGACTTCAGATGTGCTTTCTGTCTGGAAAACTTTCCTTTCTTCTGGCCAACAAACACTGCACCTTGCAGGACTGAGCTCCAGGAAAACGAAGTGGGAGAGAAAATGGGTTTTGACTGGAAGGACAGGCTGCTACTGGGATTCCGGGATAAGGCTGGAATTCTCCTGAGGCTTGGCTCTGTCATAAAACCCATGCTGAAGCTGAGCAATTCTGTTTCCTGTTGAAAACAATCAGGGGAAAATAACTTAGCTGCTGAAACCTTTGGTCACCTCCCCTTGGAAAAATAAAGTATTACTAGATATTTAGACTTTTTCTTATCTGTCTGACTCACTTAGCCTGTTTTCCATGAATAAAAGCTCCCAGATGTGCCTGTGATGGGTCCAGCAGGAGAAGCTGTATGGGTGGACAGATATGGGATAGTTGCATTTTCAGTCACTGGGGGTACTGCCAGACTTGGAGCACACTAAGTCACAAAGGGGATAAAATTGCTGCTGACAGGCTAGTGTGTGGTTTCACCACAGCACTGTTCCCAGAGACACACACGGAGTGCAGGGGAAGGAGGGAGAACCCTGCATTACAACAGTCCCTGCTTTTGCCTTGTTCAGCTGTTTACGTTAAGTGGAACAATGCTACTCCTGTTTCAAGGTCTAATTCCTCAGTTCCATGTAATGTTAAACACTGAGGGACAAAGATCACTCTGCCATAAGGAAAAAATGAAAGTATCCAATCCCTGCAGACTGGCAAGAGGAACTCAGTAGTCAGTAAACCAAAGAACTTGCAATTTGCAAATATTCCCTGCATTTGTGATAGTTAAGATGTTAAGTATGATAAACTGAAAGATATATAATGTTTATCTCTTTCTCAGATTGTCTGAAAGGAGCCACATGCTTGCAGGGGTTTGCTTTCAGTCTAGAGTTGCAGGAGAAAGTAAACAAGGCATAGACCCTAGATTTGGACTGTAAATCAAGTGGTTGAAGGAATATTGAAGCATCAATGGGCATTCTACATACATTCTTCCTTATGCTTCCTCTTATACTGAGCATCTGAACAGTTTAACAGAATCACCTTTTACTTCATTAACTGATTCTCTTTCTTTTTAGTCTACTTCCCACTCAGACAAAGGAACTTGGGTATTTAAAAAACTGTTTTAACTCTCTGTCTACATGCTATAATACTGCTGGAGGTCCTCAAAGTTACACTTCAGCATGCACACCTCATGTTCTCCAACACATTACAGAACTAGAAACATGTCTAAATGGTGTTTAGCTAATTTCCTGCTATGGTCACACTGAATTAGGCATCAATTTCATACCCAGAGTATGTGTAGATAAAATTGGTAGCTTTCAGAAGAGATGGCAACATAGGGCAAGCTTCATGTGGAGAATCTGGACATGATTTTAAAATTCTGTGCACAAAAATTGCATGAGCAATTGCTGAAATTGCTCCTCCGTTCACCACAGTCTTTGGGTTGTTAGTTATAAGGGAACACTTACTCACGTGTACAGAAACAATGACAATGCAAATTATCATAGAAGTACCCTAGGAACTTGGAAAGTATCCATGTGTCCATTCCAGGGTCTACTCTGCATGTAGCAAATCCATAAGGAGGTTTTGCTGTGAAATGGCAGAAAGACACTGGGGAGAAATTTGCCTCAAGAGTTGGTAGCTACTTAGAAAGGAATAAGGGAGAAGTGCAGCTAGGGGCTGTATAGATATACATCTAATCAAATTCTTCCAAAATGAGTTGGGAGAGAAAAAGAAATTTAAGCAGTATTTCTGACCTAGAGTCAGGCTAACTCCTAGGAACGTTAATAAGTGGTGAGATCACAAAACATCTGGAGAAATGTGAGCTGATTGAGCATGGTGACCACAGTTTCATGAAAAGATATATGCCTCACTCCAACATCTGGCAAATGTATGGAGAAGATGATGAGTAGAGCAGACAGGCACTGAGACAGAGAAGTTAGATGCAAATATTGAGTAGTCCTTTGAGATAATGGCTGGTTTGGGGAGTTGGGATGGGTTACAGTGGTTCTTATGTCTGGGACACCAGGTTACCTAATGGAGTAATGATTGTGCATCACTTTGTGATGTCTTTCAGCACAAAACTCACCATCAGAGTTGACAGGTTCCATGCAATAAATGTAGGCATAAAGAGGTCAAACACTGGAGGAATTTGGAAACTGAACAGCTCTCATAGGTTCACAGATTTTTGCTTCAGAAGGGACGGTTTCGATTGTCTAGTCTGATCTCCTGTGTGAGGCAGACCAGAGAACCTATCAAGCACCTTATCAAACCCATGACTTCTACTGGAATGAGAGCTTTTAGGTATTTGTTGGCCACATAAATTTTCTTATCAAGTGACTCTTCCACCCAAGCTACATATATGTGTCTGCAGTGCGGTAAATACATCTAATACTAACATTTACAGGTTTGAACTGAGAACAAAATTCTTTAAAACCCCTTGAGAGTCATCCTTTGTAAATGACTTAATCTAAGCTTATTTGAATCAAACAAGTCCTGTTAGCCTCAGGATGTCTTGGACCCAGTGCAAAGTACTGCTGAAGGAAAACCTCATCCTAGAACATGTGAGGGATGGTGTTTAGGTGGGGAAGGGACAGTTCAGGCAACTGGAAACAAATTGGTGTCATAAAATCCCCACTGTCTGTCAAGCTCTGATAAGGGATACACTTTCCAGTTGAGGGGAATTGTGCTTCTCAGGAAGTAAATGTGCTTCAGATGCATTGCACCAAGATCACGATATTACTGCAAAGATACAAAGAAGGAGGTGGTCTCTAAAGCTACCTGAATTTGGTATATTTAGGGAGGACACAGAAATCTTCTGAAATACATTTAACAAAAGAGTCACGTTTTACAGCCACATTGACTTGTCGTGTGAACTTTCCAGTGCTTCCAGTAAGCGAGTACTTGCCAAACTTAGCAGATGCTTGGGGCAAGTTTTGCAGTGGTACTGGTAGCAGCACAGAAGGCAACTGTCCCATTGCTTGCTAGAGAACAGGCCATGCTGAGAATATTGCCCTGAGTAGGAACTTCTCATCATTGCAGACAGTCTTATACCAATGTTCGCAGGAACGGGGGCACAAATGTAAGCAATATCTGATCATCTACTGTCTACTACAGTTTCAGCTAAATATAGTTTTTGACTTCCTGTCCTAAATGGCTACGTGCTGGTTTGTATTGTTGACTCTCCAAGCTAGATGTGACATAGGCTGTAAAATGTACACATAGTGCTGCATTCATCTCTCTTGCTCTGTGTGTACAGGTATGCATGTAAAACAGTGTGTTCTGGAGACTGACTGTGAGGGCTGCTTGGCACAAATATAAACTGGCTCCATACCTTATCAAACCACATGTACATAGTCCAGATGCCTCAGAGACTATCGATTTTATAGCATTTTTCCAAATGATAGTAGGACTGCATTTTAACTCATCCATCAGTAAATATAGGTGGCTTCTCTGAGATCACAGAATCATAGAATTTTAGGGGTTGGAATGGACCTTATAGATCATCCAGTCCCAATCCCCCTGCCATGGGCAGGGACACCTCCCCTCTGGACCAGGTTGCTTCATCCAACCTGGCTTTGAACACTGCCAGGGTTGGAGTATCCACAACCTCCCAGGGCAACCTGTGCCAGTGTCTCACCACCCTCACAGGAAAACACCTTTTTTCTAATATCTAACCTAAATTTGCTCTCTTTCAATTTGTACCAAGATCAACAATATAGGCTTGTGAGACTCGGAAGAATCTCTAAAACAACCTGAAAAATAGGCATAAAATCCAATACCTAAACTAAGTCCATTAGAAATAAAAGAGCTGCAGCATGATCCGTTCCCAGAGTTTTAAATGCGTGCCTGGTTTGATTGCTAAAGAGCACAGAAACTAAAATGCCTTAATGAAACTTGGACAAAATATTGTCCATCACCAAGCTTTAACCTTTATAGTTTTTGAAGGGATAAGGGGGTTTTTTTTTTGCATTTGGGAATAGAAAGAAATAGTTCTTTGGAAGAGTGAAGAGAAAGCAAATGCAGCTGTTTGGAATGACTGGTCAAATTCTAGTGCAGATGGATTTGTGAGTAGAGGGTCATCAAAAGCCCTTGGTGTCCTGGAAGCTCATCACACTTTCCAAACTGTATCACAAAGGCATTCGCCCTGTGCAGGGAAGGATGTCTCTATGTTTGTGATTATTTAGATTGCCCTTTGTGAGGAATTGCATATTAATGACAATGAGTTTAGATATTTAACAAGTTGTTGTAAGATTTAGAATTAGAAAGAACCAGGAGAAAACACATGTTCTCTAGAAGACCAAGGAGAGGTTATAATGCCTTTTGCTGTATTGCCATCAGTAAAGAGTGGCCCTGCAGTCACAGGGGGTGGGATGTGCTGGGATGGTCTTGGCAGCCCCAGTGTTCAGATCAGCAAGTAGATCATAGACAATTGAACTGACCTGGGGCCTTATGTGGAAGGGACTTGTGAGGAATGAAAACAGGAATAGTTACAAATCTGAGATGTTTGATCATTAAAAAGAAAAAAAAAA